CAGTGGCCTTTTGGTGGGGCATTAAGAGATAAAGAGACTCAAGATTTCCTGACTTCTGTGCAGGTCTCTCTTTACTCCTCAGGGCTAACTCTTGACACGATGTGTCCAATATGGTAAAGAATTGAGAATATGAAAAATTATAATCAAGAGAGGCTTTTTCAAAAAAAAAAGAGAGGCTTTTTCAAGGGAATTTCTTAAGAACGCACATACATCTGGCTGATCTAAGCAAAGGCAGTGAAGGACTCAACAAGTAGAAAGTAATTAGGCATGGTAACAAAAATGAGAAGAGAAGATTTCAAAGGGGGCTTGGAAATGATGTCAGTGATAACTATTATGTTGTTGTCTCCTGTGGGAATAAGCAGATAAATACCATCCAGTGAGGCCCTTAAATTCATTCGTTCATTCAACCATCATTTATGAAACATCTACTGTTTGTCAGGCACTGTACTAGGCAGAAGGACCACAAAGATGAATGTCCCTGCACTCAAGGGGCTGACTAACTGGAGTGGGAGGCGAGGAGGCATAGGCATTAGTGTGGTGAGAGCAATGATAGAGATTTACAAAGAGTCCTGGGGATACTTTGAGAAGAGACATCTCATCCTGGTATTAGTGGGGAGAGGATGGTGGTTAGGAAACCCTTCCCAGAAGATGTAACACCTGAGAAGAATTTAAATTAGGGGAAACTGACATGGGAGGACATTGTTCTGGCCTTAAATAGAAGAGAATTTAGGTTTTTTCTACCTTTTTCTGGTGAGGCAGAGATGAGCTATCCAGCAAGCCTCCTTGACCATAAGCCACAAACTGATCAAAACCCTAACCACATTGCCTCAGGGATATTGCTAACTAGAAGTTCTGCTTTCAATTACTATAAATAGTTTCTTTTTACAAAGATGAAAACAGCTATTCTTCAGAATCACTTTCCTCAGTGATCACCTGGGTCTCATCTCCTTTGGATGATTTCTAAATAAGCGTATGCTGTGGGAGCCATGCTACGTATCTATTGGGTACTTGAGAAAATACAAAACTGAAGTGTACTAGTTAGGGAAGGCTAAATTGTTGAAACAAATGGACCCTAAAATACAGTGGCTGAAATCCAGCAAAAGTTTATCACTAATAAATTGGAGAGTATTCCAAGTCAGCAGCAGCTCTCTTCCACATGGAGAATTGTAGCCCCAAGCTCTTCCATCTGAGATTCTGCTTCCCTGGGGCCTTGATGTCTATGTTCAGTTAGAGGATGGGGAAATAATGAGTAAACACTTTCTGAGAGAGCTACACCCATGACCGCATATATCATTTTTTCTTGTATTTTATTGGCAAAAATTAGTCACATGGCCACATACGGTTGCAGGATCTGCTGGGAAATGTGTTTCCAGACTGAGCAGCTGATTTCAAGCACAGCCGTTGATAAGGAAGAAGAAGATTTTGATGGGCAGCTACTGCTTTCATCGTATAAACTGAGAGAAAGAAAATGGATAATCACAGAAAATCTAAGCTAGAAAATTATTAATAAAAATGGCTCTCACAGGGACTTCCCTGGTGGTCCAGAGGTTAAGACTTCGCGCTCCCAATGCAGGGGGCCCGGGTTCAATCCCTGGCCAGGGCACAAGGTCCCACATGCCACAACTAAAAGATCCCGCATGCCGCAATTAGAAGATCCTACACACGGCAGCGAAGATACCACACGCAGCAACGAAGATCCCGCATGCCGCAACTAAGACCCGGCGCAGCCAAATAAATAAATAAATTTTTTTAATAAAAGGGTGTGGAGCCACTGCAGAGCCCTGAATGAAGATGAGGCTCCCTGCCCTGGTAAGACCTTTAAAAAAAAAAAAAAAAAAGAATGGCTCTCACAAATCAGCAAGTGGTACACCTTAAAGTTACTCAAGGTTATATGTCAATTATACCTCAATAGAGCTGGGAAAGAAGAAAAACATGCTTCTTAGCTCCAGAGCATTTTATAGTCATTCGCTTGGTAATATCAAAGGATTTATCAACCCTTTCAAGTGGATCCCCAACAAGGGTCCTCCTGCCCAGTGTCATTGGAGCCAATCGAACAAGACCAAGTTTGGTTCAAAGCAAAGTTCTATCCTTTAATCAAAGAATGGAGAGGTGCAGCCTTGCGCGCTAGAGCACAGACTCTCAGGACAGGCCGTGGGCGTGGGCGGGGCTGCTTCATAGGGAACTTGGCAGTAGGGGAACGGAAGGGAGTGGAGTTCCCGCAGGGAGTGGGCGGAGCGGTTGGCGGAGCCGGGCGCGGTGCCGGGTGCAGCATCTCTGCACACGGCCTGCCACCGCCATCTTGAATTGGGTGTAGTTTGCAGCTTCTGCACACGGTCTCGAAGCTGAAGTGTCGGGTGCAGCCACGTTGCACCAGGATCTCTGGTCTGAGGTGCCGGGGGCAGGGCCTCTGCACACAACACCCCGTGAGCAAGTGAAAACAGACTAAGCACAAAGGAAAGGAAAAAAAAAGGTTAGACTTTATTACCCAGATTCTATTTTTATTTCCTGAGTATTGTTAATGGGCTTTGCCGGTGACACCTGCCTGCTTTCTTACAAGCGTCAGAAAAAAAGCCTCTTCATAAATGGAAAACACAGGGCCGCAGCCACAACCAGGTGATGGCTTGTTGGTTAAAACGCTGATTAGTTTAAAAATAATTAAGGAATCTAACAACTAGGTAGATAATATCAACAGCAGTAAATCATGAGCAACTGTCAGATTTTTCCAGTCAGAGCAATTTAGTAATACTACAAATATTTTCCAATGCCTTTCCTGCACTGAACACTTTAGAGTAATATAAAAAAAGGCGTTGTCACTTGAAAATTTAAAAAATATATGTGTGTGTATATGTATGTATAAATGAAGATTGAAATAGAAGTGATATAGCCCAATGATACTACTGATTGCCAGATGGATTGCACAGAAGAAAAATGTAGGTATGGTCAGAAGCATGGAGAAAGCAGGATTTGGGCAAAGTCTCGAAGTGTATGTGAAATGTTCATAGGTGTAATGGATAGGAAGGCATTATGTATGTGAAAGTTCCAGAAATAAAAGAGAACAGAGAGAAGATTGTGGATAAAGAAATGGATGATGTTGGGTCATTATGGTGGTGATTCTCTATGAATGGGGTGAGGATGGGCAAATAGGAAGCAGTCTTCTCCCTATGGAGCAGAAATGAGGCAGAAAGTTGTGTGTGTTGCTTTAACAGCTCCCTAAGTAATGTTTTTATACATCTTCACTGAAACATTTTGAAATACTATTTAAATATGTTATATTCGTTTATTGAAAATATTTTGCTTTTGTTTAAACCTGGAGTAGACTTCAAGTTTTGAAGCACCTGAAAAATCTTTCAAACAAAAATTAAGATTCCACTTAGTATAACTGTAACTGGTACAGTGTGCTTAATAAGTGGCCAGTTGATTATTGAATTGATAGACACCTTGAGGTAGGTTTACAGAATAACATGGGCTAGGCAGAATTCTAAAGGTATCCCTCAAGATTCCTGTCCCTGATTATTCAGTCAAAACTAATGTAAGTAGTGGTGTGAAGCAGCTATAATTACGGTCCCAAATTAGTTGCCCTTAAGACACAGAGAGCCCTTTAAAAGCAGAGCTTTTTCTCTGGTCGGTAGCAGAAGAAGCAGAGATTGGAAGTGTAAGGACTCAGTGTACCATGGCTGACTTTGAAGTTGGAGGAGGCCATGTGAGAAGGAAGGAAGGTGGGTAGTCTCTAAGAGCAGACAGTGGCCCCTGGATGACAACCAGCTGCCAGACACTAGATTCTACCAACAAGCCAAATGAAGTTGGAAGCAGATTGTTTCCAAAAGCCTCCAGAAAAGAGCCCCACCTGGCCAACACTTTGATTTTGACCTTGTGATACCCTAAGCTGAGAGCCCAGTTGAGCCTGCCCAGTCTTTTGTCCTACAGAACTAAGAGCTAGTAAATAAATATTGTTTTGAGCTGCTAAATTTACAGCTATTTGATACATAACAATAGAAAACTAATATAAACAGATACCTGAATTCAGTTAAGCAGAGGTTGTACACTTCAAGACTCAGCTCCAATCCTCTGTGAAAACTTTCCTGATCACCCCAGAGTGATCCTTTTCTCCTCTTTAGTCCTAATGGACTTTGTTTTTATCATTTCGGAGTTAGATATCACAGTATTGCCTGGTACTTTGTGTACATGACCTTTTTATGTCCCCAGATGGTAAGCTCCTTGATGGCAAGGAATCCAGTCTTTATGGTTCTGCTTCTAAGAGTATTGGAGCATAGGAGGAGGTGGTAGGCAAGTCTGATTTTCAAGAATTTTCTACGAACAAAAGCAAATGAAATGTTCTTGAGACAGAGCAAGTAGCTATCGTTTTCTCTCAATAAGTAAGAAGCTGAGACAACATTCAGCTGCTAGGATCAAGGTTACGGATCTCCTGTAACTGCCAGCCTGACCAGGTCCTATCGCTACATAATGGGCAAACCAGAATGACTAGTCTGACTCATAAAGGTATAATTGAGACCCTTCTAGTTATGAGTCTGTTTTATTCTTAGTGCCAGTTATTACTCCATAAACATTGCTTCATCCAGTCCCTGTCAGCTGCTGAGGCTGTGACCATGGCAGGGTGGTAAGCCCTGACTTGAAAATTATTGATACAACATTCTTTTCTTAGGTAATCACATGAAGACAGTCTTACCAGCTTCCAGGAGCAATATCCTTTTTTTTTTTCCTATAACTTTATTTATTTTTGGCTGTGTTGGGTCTTCATTGCTGCGCGCGGGCTTTCTCTAGTTGCGGCGAGGGGGTGCTACTCTTCGTTGTGGTGTGCGGGCTTCTCATTGCCGTGTCTTCTCTTGCTGCGGAGCATGGGCTCTGGACACGTGGGCTTCAGTAGTTGTGGCACGTGGGCTCAGTTGTTGTGGCTCATGGGCTCTAGAGCACAGGTTCATTAGTTGTGGTGCACGGGCTTAACTGCTCCGTGGCATGTGGGATCTTCCCAGACCAGGGCTCGAACCTGTGTCCCCTGAACTGGCAGGCGGATTCTTAACCACTGAGCCACCAGGGAAGCCCAGCAATATCCTTTATTTCTGAGAAACTCTCTCATGCATATGTAATCCTAATATGAGTGGATTTTATCCTTTTATCAATACCTCTATGTGTGACCCACTAGTGTAAATAACAAATTTTAAAAGCACCCAGCACATTTTATACACCTGTAGACTGATTCTGTAACGAGTTAGCAACATTCTTACATAGTTCAGGAAGAAAACGTCTGCTCCAGGACAGGGAATTAATTTCTCCTTCACCCCCCCATAGGTAGGAAAGGAAGAATGATCCTCTTTTGAGGTGCTCTGTAGTGCCAGAAGGAGTGATCAGACAATGCCTGAAATAGAAGAGTTTTGCTTGGGACCAGTGTTTAACCTGAGGTTATAATGCCTGGTTTTAGGAAACTCTCATGACATTCAATGGTGATTTTATTTGTTAAGTTTCAGAAACTAAATCAAACACAGATTTAAATTTTTTTTCAGATAAAAAAGATTTTTAAATTTACTACCAATATGTTTACTGGACTTTCTCAGCCTCATGCTGTAATTGTCTTTTTATTTTTAGGCCGATCTGTCTACTCATTTTCCAGATTTGCAGTAATTCAGAAAGTATCCTAAACTCCGCCTACTCAGTCACCCTTCCCCCCCACCACATTCAAGTTCAAATCCAGGATGTTCTACCTCCAAAATATCTTTCAAAAACATTCTCATTTCTCCATCTTTATCCTCACTGCATTGGTTAAGGTCCCCAGTCTCCCAGACGGTCTTTCCTGAAAACTAGACCTGGAATTATTTTTCTAAAACAACAATCTAGTCACGTCATTCACTGTTTTGCTTAAAATGTTCTGTCCTGCCGCCAGAGTATACTTCAAACTCCTGAGCCAGACGGGTTGTATCTTTGCCTGCTTTACTAGCCTTACCTCCTCCCTTCACCCACATCCTTTACTTCTTCAGTGTTTCTCAAAATGCTGTCCTTGCACCATCCCCAAGAAAATCACCACTTATTGGGAATTCCCTGGTGGTCCAGTGGATAGGACTCCGCGCTTTCACTGCTGAGGGCGAGGGTTCCATCCTTGCTAGGGGAACTAAGATCCTGCAAGCTGCATGGTGCGACCAAAAAAAATCCTGGGTCCTGTCTGAGGTCTATAGAATCAGAAACCGTGAGGTACGGGGCCAGAAATATGCATTGTTAAACTCTGGGTTGATTCTCAGGCAACATGAAGAATTCGGTAACTGCCAGGAGCATTTGCCAACTACTTGTTCAATGTCCCACATTCTCTCCTCTACATGCCTTTACCTTGTGCTGTGTGACACACACACACGCACACACACGCGCACACACACACACACACACACACACACACGATTTTTTTTGCCTGGCTGAGTTTGGACTCTGCTTCTAAATTAGTTCTAAATCTTCCTTAAGAGTCACCTATGGCAAACCTTCCTTGACTCCCCTAGGCTGGCTGAAGAGCTAACCTCTGTATTGCCCTTAAGGCATACAAGTGCAATTTGTTATTGTTGCTGCTGGTTATGCATCTATTTCACTGCCAGGTGAGCTGTTTACAAATAAGTGCTGTTTCTTTCACCTGTGTCCCCAGAGTCAGAGTCCTGAGAATGTAGTTAGTGGTCCCTAATAAGTATTTGTGAATGTGTGAATAAATAAATGCACAATTTTAAGATCTTATTAAGAAAACATAATTACCATAAAAAAGATAAAAATTTTAAAAACCTGGGAGTATGATTAATCCAGACGATCATGTCTGAGAAAATTGATTAAAAAAAGACAAAGAAAGAAAACATAATCTGATATAGAGGAAAAAATTAAAAGAGCTTTTCAAACTCAAGGAATTTTGCTTTTCTCTGGTAGATGGTCATTGGTTGTGACTCATAGCATCAGTGATTCCAATAGCTATCACTGATAGATTGCCCTGTTAGAGATAAAAATTCCTGCTTCTCTGAACTGTTTATTTCTTTTTCTTTTTTTTTTTTTTTTTTTTGTACGCGGGCCTGTCACTTTTTTTGTGTCTCCCGTTGCGGAACACAGGCTCTGGATGCGCAGGCTCAGCAGCCATGGCTCACGGGCCCAGCCGCTCCGCGGCATGTGGGATCTTCCCGGACCAGGGCACGAACCCGTGTCCCCTGCATCGGCAGGCGGACTCTCAACCACTGCGCCACCAGGGAAGCCCTGAACTGTTTATTTCTTCCTGATGATGTTCTGAGTTTGGATGCACTGTGCTATAGAAAGCGTAGATGAATCTGGGAGTTGGACAGTCCGGCCAAATACTAGCTGTATAACTTCAGGCAAATTGTTTTTCTCTGAGTCTCCTTCCTTATTATGTAAGTCAGAGAAGACTTTCTACGTATGCCCAGAGGGAATAATACATGTTCTCATAGAGGGAAAATGGGATAAAATGAAATAAAGTGTGTAAGACATGCTAGCTAGTGAAAAAAATTATTATTCTCTTTATAGTAAGAAAAAAACCTAGATTGTTTCTGAGTTTCTATTGTATGTCAAGTATTTTATTAGATATTGGGGAAGGAAGAGGAATGCAAAAAATAGAGAGTGCATATACCTTCTAATTCAGGGCTGCCATAACAAAACACCACAGACTGGGTGGTTTATACTATAGAAATTTATTTTTTCATAGTTCTGGAGCATAGAAGTCTAAGCTAAGGTACCTGGCAGGTTTGGTGGCTTCTGAGTCCTCTCTCCCTAGCTTGCAGATGGCCATCTTCTTGCTGAGTTCTCACATGACCTTGTGTCTGTGTGGGCACATCCCTGCTGTCCCTTCCTCTTCTAAGGACACTAGTCATATTGGATTAGGGCCCATCCTAAAAGCCCCATATTAACTTAATTACTTATCTTTAAATACTTATCTCCAAATACTGTAGGTTGGAACTTCAAATATGAATTTAGGAGGAGGACACAGTTCAGCCTCTAACAGTCACTGCAGTTTTGGGATTTACTTTGTCATCACAGCATGGAATAGCTTATTGTGATCAAAACAGTTTTCCTGGGAACAGGAATGAAGATGTGTTTGTTTTGAACATACAAATTTATGTTTATATATGAGGATGTGCGTTGGCGTAGGTGTGGGTATGTGTATATGTGCTGTGCAGAACGTTATAACCTGTGAATGAGTTATGTGATACCAAGATATTGTTCATTCATCCTTGAGATAGGTAGGTAGGTCCTGGGAGGTAGGAATCTCTAGACTACTCAGCTTAGGTCATGAGCAGCCCCTCTGTACACCGAGTGTATCATACAAATATTATCTTCTATGTACATAATGGTTTTTTAAAAATTCCAAAGTACTTTTACACACTACGAATAATTATATACCATGTCAACATAAATATTTTATGAATGTCCCCTATTTTATGGAATATAGAGAAAATTTATTGATAACCTAAGTGCCAAGCACTGTTCTAAATTCACTATTCTAATACATAAAACTCTAAATGAGTTATATATATTGACTCATTATATTCTCAAAATAACCCTACAAAATAACTTTACAAAACTATTGATATCCCATTTTACAGATGAGGAGACTGAGGCACAGGTGGGTTAAAGACTTGCCCATTTACAAAGATGGTAAAAAGTAGAGCCAGAATTTGAACCTAGGCAGCCTGTCTCTAGTCTTTCTGGCGCAGCACTTATAGCCGTTGACAATTTCAAGCAAAAAAAAAAAAAAATAGTGAATGAATTTCATAGTTGAATTTTGGAATTTCCTTTTTTCCCCCCTTATGTCTAACAGGCAGTGATTGAGTCAAGTTTACCTCTTTGATGCCTTTGAAGTGTGGTTATTTTGCTTTATAACAAAATTAAATCCTTGCTCTGAAAAACGATGTACTCCAAGACATGAGTAAGCACAGTGTAAGCTGAAGATCAATGCCATAATTCCAATCAATTCAATTCAGCAAAGTATTTGTTGAGTAACTGCCATGTGCTAGGCTTTGTGCTGTGTGCATGGAACACAGTAAAGACTGAGATGACACTGTTCCTTGCATAATAGCCACCGTTACAGAGGGGTTTATGGTATTTTCCTCAAATGTGTTACTGAAGAAAAAGTTAAGGGCCATGGTCGTTTAGATGTCCACTGAGCTACTAAGGAGAACTAAGAAATTAAAATGGAGAATTTAAAAATATTTATTCATTCATTTAAAATGTAATAAACCCATTATATGTTAACAAAATATATTTTATGAAAAACAATTATTTCCAAAAACAAAAAATCCAGTGAGAAAAGTGACATTTGATTTGTTTTTTTGTTTGGCTGAGTTCCATAATGTCATGCTTAATAAAAACCAGATTCTCGTATTTGCTTCTCATATTTGCATTCAGTTTGTTGACATATGTTGTTTGGGTTGAAACACACGGAAAAAAATCTAACCTCACACAGGTAGTCGGGAAAGGAGGAGAATTTTTAACAGTCTTTTCAGATGATTATGGACAGTCTTTGATATTATACCAAAACTTGACAAGTTGTAGTTTCTTAAAGGTTAGTTGGAATCTAAAAGCTGACCTTTTCATATGCTGTTATATTAAAATCAATTTATCTATCTCACACTTTGGACATTTTACCTATGCATGATTTTATAACATCATGCATTATCATTCAGAAGACATTGAATGATAACTTCTGTGAAGTTATGCAGATCTTCCAAATGTTGACACATATTATACAAACAAACAAAAATCACATTCTTTAATATTACCACTGACCTCATTGGCAAGGTCTTTAAACACTGGGAAGCTGTCAAGTTCGCAGTGTCAGATACAAGGTTCCTAAAGCTTGAAAGCTCAAATTTATCACTGGCTACAAATACCGTCAATTGTCTTCCTTGAAGTGACAGACCTACTTCATTCATTTTTGAGAAAATGTCTACCAAATACCCAAGTTTAAATAGCTATAATTTGTTTACCAGTCATTCTTTTAAGTCAAAATGGTGTTCCATGAAAAAAGCAGTTAGTTCAGCTTGTAACTCAGGGAACAAGTGCTTTTCCTCATAGCCCCCTATTTCAGTATGCCGCACAAGGGCTTTATGTGTACTTCCCATTTCATCACAGATGTTAAAAAGACATGTACTCAGGGATCAAGACTGAATAAAATTGAGATGTGTAATTGTTTCATCAAGAACATTCTTAAGTGAAAATGGCATCTGAAATTTAATTTATTTTTTTGTTTGTTTACTGCTAGTGCTTGGCAGAGAACAATATAATGGCTATTATTACAGTTTGGTACAAATGCTTTCACTTATGTTAAGGCACCAGGAGTTTTACCCACCATTGCTTTTGTAGCATCAGTGCAAATGTCAACATAATGAAAAAGGCAAATAATAGTTGATGTTATTAGGAAAATAGTTTTGACCTTGTGGACCTCATGAAACGGTTTTGGTGACCCCAAGGGGTAGGCAGACCACAGTTTGAGAACCACCATCACAGAAAATAACCATATTTCCTCACAAAGAACCTTTGACATCTGAAACAGAATGCTGGAGTAGAACACTGATTATGATATATGCCTTTTTAATGGGGCAACTACTATAAAAATCACATAATGGGAAAACAATATGATTTAGGACTAATTTAGATTTTCTAATATGCTTAAAAACAAACTTCGGGTCAAAAGTTTAAAGACTTTAAAGTTAGCTTAGCTAATTATATTTTTGTTTTCAAGCATTAAAAGATCTGTCAATGAGATAGTTTTCTCTCTCCTGTTACTTATTCTCTAAAAAATAATTACATTAATGGGAAAGTATCTGAAAAGGCATTTCTCCAAAGAAGATACACAAATAGCCAATAAGAATATGAAAAGATACTCAACATCATTAGTTATCAAGGATATACAGATCAAAATCACAATGAGATACCACTTCACACACACTAAGATGGCTAGAAATAAAAAAGCCAGATACTAACAAGTATTGGTGAGGATGATGAGAAAGTGGAACCCTCATATACTGCTTATGAGAATGTAAAATGGTCCATCTACTTTGGAAAACAGTCTGGGAGTTCCTCAAACAATTAAACGTAGAATTTCACCAAGAGAAACAAAAACATGCCTACACAGAAATTTGTATATAAGTTCATAGCAGCATTATTTATAATAGCCAAAAAGTGAAAACAACCCAAATGTCCATCAAGAGACAAATGAATAAACAAATGTGATATATCCACACAGTGGAATATTATTTGGCCATAAAAAAGGAATGAAGCACTGATATATTCAACAATATGGATGAATCTTGAAAACATTATGCTACCTGAAAGAAACCAATCACAAAAGACTACATATTATATGATTCCACTTATATGAAAGTTCAGAATAGGAAATCTGTGGAGATGGAAAGTTGATTAGTGGTTACTTGGGGTGTAGGGGTGAGGAGTTTGCAGGGGTAGATGAGTGATAGGGGTTTCTCCTTGAGATGAAAATGTTCTAAAATTGACTGTGGTGATGACTACACATATCTGTGAATATCCTAAAAACCATTGAACTATACACTTTAAATGGGTGAATTGTACGGTATGTAAATTATATGTCAATAAAGCTGTTCTCTGCCCCCCCAAATCAACTACATTATAGAAAAAAATTAACCGTATGAAAAATTTTTAGATAATTTTATAGAGGGGAGACTAAAGCCCCAGAGAGAGGGGTGATTGACCTAAACTCACTCAAAAGCTGGGACTAGAACCCAGGTTTCTTGTTCCTGTAATAGAATGCATTTCATCCCCCAGAATAGTATTACAATACCCCTTTCACTTCTGGGAAGAAAATTCCAATGATCATACCAAATGCATTCAAACTGGAGTTAGCCTAAGAGGTAAAAAGAAAGTATCTACTAGAAAAGTACTCTATCTACAATTCTGCTCCGAAAAAGGTCACCCTTTGTGGAAAGAAATGGGAAAATGAGCAGAATAAGGAGGAGAGATAGAATTCACCTTCTTGCTTTAAACACTAGGCCATTTATGGGCAGGCTTGTAAGTAGTCACACTAGTTGCACAGGCTTTTGCCAACTCCTTTAAAAATAGCTATTCATAAAAACAGTAAACACAAAATGTAGCACAAACGTTTTTGTAGGTCCACAGACTAGTAAATATCATACCCCTTCATGGTCGAACACATTGTAGTGGACAGCTTGGTGCTTGTCTCACAAATGATTTTGTTCCAGTGCTAGGCAGAGCTATAGGGATGCCTCTGATATGTGTAACACTTTGAGTTTCAACCTGCTTTTACATAGTATCCCTTCTGATGCTTGCAACAGCCCTGTGAAATCAATAGGGTAGGTATTATTAGCACCATTTTGCAGATAGGAAACTATTTTTAGGTAAGTAGGACAAGGTTTTGTTATCATCCTCATTTTATGAATGAGGAGTCTTATTTTACACAAGCGGTATGATATAAATAGCTGCAAGAGAGAACTTAAACTTGTAGCTGATACATGAAAATTTGGGAACTATTTAAAACTGGAGAACAAGGGAACAGTGTACAGCAGGGATACTCGTGGAAATGACAAATTTATTGGTGCTTTATATTTATGACTTCCATAAACTACTTTTAAACTGACCAGACCCTGAACTTGCAAGCCCTGAGATGCTGTAGAATGATTGACAGTGCTGCCTCCTTGCACAGCTTAGGGGACACCATTCATATGGAGGTGACACCATCCCCATAGCATTAGACATTAGTGGTAGGTGTCCCGTGGAATTAAATCAGATTCCTAAATTAGACATGCTATGTAGATATCACAGACATGAGTCAGGCAAATCTCAAGGTCCATCACAAATTCCACCTCCTCCAAGAAATCTGCCCCAATATTCTGTCCTAGCAGTCCATTATATGCATTGTATATTTTGGTATTTCTTTATATTTCATTTCATTTTATTTATTTTTTCATTTTTAAAGACACATTGTTTTCTTTCTGATCTTACAACTGATACATGTTCATTTCAGACAATTAGGAATACATAAAATCATAAAGTAAATAATAATTAACATCCATAATCTTCATCCCTTAGAGATAACCCCCATAGCCTTTGGATGCATTTCCTCCCGTTTCCCCTCCATTTTAACTATAATTTATCTTTTTATATTATTCTTCCATGTTTCATCTTTAAGTATTTGACCCCTGTTAAGTTTTATCTTCTTCAAAATATGGTAACTTTTTGAGGATAAAAACCATGTTATTTTCTACTTCTTTATGCTCTACACTTTCTTATGCATAGTGATAAGTACAGTAGTCAATAATTCAATTGAATTAGTTTATCTTCAATAATTTGAGTCGTTTGGTATTATAGGTACAGTAAAGAATGTAAGTAAATCTACAAATATATCAGTTATTCCATGAATAATAGTTCCCTTTGAATTTACTAAGTTACTTACATTTCATGTATATAATTTTTTGTTTGTTTGATTGTTAGTTTTGGTTAAACTTGGGAGACTTTATTTACTTCCCCACATCACCAATCATGGATATGAGTGGCTAAGGCTTCTATCTCCTCAGGAAAACACAGCACAATTGAGTGATCACAACCTTTGGAGAACTTCAGTCTTTGGTTGCAGCATTTAAGAGCTCCTGGTTTTGGTCCCACAAGCCCTTTTTGAAGTGACCTATGTATGTTTTTGGGTTTTTTATTTTCTGTGTTGGGTGTTCATTGCTGCGTGCGGGCTTTCTCTAGTTGCAGCAAGTGGGGGCTACTCTTCGTTGCATTTCGTGGGCTTCTCATTGTGGTGGCTTCTGGTTGCAGAGCACGGGCTCTAGGCGCGCAGGCTTCAGTAGCTGTGGCACGCGGGGTCAGTAGTTGTGGCGCACGGGCTTAGTTGCTCTGCAGCACGTGGGATCTTCCCAGACCAGGGACCCAACCCGTGTCCCCTGCGTTGGCAGGCGGATTCTTAACCAGTGCGCCACCAGGGAAGTCCCTATGTTGTGTTTTGATGTTGGGATTATTGCCTTAAATCTTTTTGCTTCTTTTGCTGAATTATATGGAAAACAAATTTGAATTCTGTTTATTAATGCTATTAAGTTTCAAGTGCTAACTTCTGGTAGAACAAATACCCAATCATTTGAACTGTTAAAAGATAAATTGAGGCATATTAAAAATTTTAAGAGTTTATCTGAGCAAAACTCAGTTTAAATCAAATCACCAAAGTTAAATCAAATCACCAAACTGGAAAGTGCTCCACCAACAGGAGCTAGGGGAAAGATTTTACAGAGAAGAAGGAAGCAAAGCAAGGAGATTATTTGATGGGCTATAGCTTAAGCATTCAGTTTACTTGGGAAAACCTTATTGGCTGTTTGTGATCGGTTGTCCTTAGA